CCCACCAGCCACTCCTCGGAAGGAAGGTTGGGCATTCCTACTTCCGTAGTGATACTGCCTTGGAAACCCAAGGAGGGGTTGCTATGAGTCGGGGCTGACTCGATGGCAAATAACAACAACAACAACAACAATACTAAAACTTGAATGATACAGAGAAGATTGCCATGGCACCTGCACAAGGATGATGTGCAAATTCATGAAGGTCCACATTTAAATAAATAAAAGATGGCAAACCCATTGGTATATGGTAGGCTTTCTCCACATTTCCTCTACCCATGTAATTTTCTTGAAACTAATTAGTGCCCACAAAGTGTTTCCCATTATTGTTGTGGGATGGGAAACACTTGGAGGTGATTTGGAGCATGATTTTGTTTTGGATGTCTGTTCTATAATGGAAAGATAGAGTGTTGAACTTTAAAATTGGAAAAGGCCCAAGCTACCTGAAAATGAAATTTAATAAAGTTTTATGTGCAATGCCAGAGGAGCTCAGACTCCTTACAGCTTCCAGAGTGCTCAAGGAAAGAATGAAGAATGAAAGGGATTTGGTTTTGCTTACATTCAACAAGTTTTACAAAATACTCCCTGTCAGTAAGCTGAACTTCACTGAGAGAGGAAGATGGTGAGGCTGTTGATAGACTAGCCAATAGAGAAGAACAAAAGTTTGTGTGGATTGACATGAGGTGAGTGGTGAGAGAGAGGGAATCATGGAAAGGACCAAAGGAGCAACCCAGTTCCAAATTGCAAGATGCCTGCTGAGAGCTGGGGGAGAGGGTTTATGTCTTAATCAGAGTTTCAATTAACTTGATAATGTGTTCAATTTATCCTGTGTAGATTGAGAACATCTTCGGATAACTGACTCTATTATATAAAGACCAGGACTTCCGTCTGAGGTCAACTAGAGCTAAACCACATCACTTGATTATCTGATGACATAACTGATGACATTGCTTCAAAGTTCAAGCGTAGAGGGAAGTACTAAAATCTATGCTTAGAACCCATTCTACCAAATACTCTGCAACTGGTAGAAGGAAGAGTGTCAGCAGAAAGGAGCCAGATGGGAACGGCTACCTATGTGCTGGTGTCTGTGGTCATCCTTGGACAGATGCTAGCTTACAGTTTACCAAGGGTCCTTGCCTAGAGGGTCTCAGACCCCTCAGAGAGCACATCTTTGGAAAATAGCAGCCCTTAGTTACAAGTTGAAAGATGCCTGCAGTGACTAGGGAAGGATCAGCTGACTTAATCAGCTCTTCAGTGAAAAGCCACCTCATTCTGTGAGCAGATAGAAACCACAGGCACTTATAAATACATGTTATTGTTGGGTGCTGCAGAATCGATTTTGACTCATAGCCACCCTGTAGGACAGAGTAGACTTGCCCTATAGGGTTTCGTAGCCTGTAATCTTTAAGGAGCTCCCATGGTGCAGTGCATAAGGCATTCGACTGCTCACCAGAAGGTTGGCAGTTCAAACTCACCAGCCATTCCACAGAAGGAAGATGAAGCAATCTACTTCTATAAAGATTTACCGCCTTGGAAACCCAGTGGGGTCGCTGTGAGTTAGAATCAACTCCATGGCAGTGGGTCTTGGGAATCTTTACAGGAGCAGATTACTTTTTCTCCCAGGCAGTACTAGTGGATTCAAACCACTGACCTTTCAATGAGCAGTAGAACACTTAAATATTGCATTACCAGGGCTCCTTATTCATACACAGTTATTCTAAATCAGACGACATACTGACTCCAACTCCTACTGCCATTAGTCATGAGGGAGAACTGGGAGACGCTTCACCAAGGTCTCTCCACACATCCTTCCATATCCTGGCTGCCAGAGAGTGAGGAAGATACACAGAACAGAAGGAAAAGAAGTTGAATTTTGAAATCTGAACAACCTGGGTGGTGACATGTTCACTTCTCTGTGCTTTGCTTTTTCCACTTACAATACTGTGCAAAGTTCTTCTTGCAGAGCTTTCCTTGAAGCTGGTCTATGTGATTGAGCTGAGCTCATGATGATAGAGATGAACATCAATCCCTCACTCTTTATCCCTCCTTCCTTCTCCTCCCAACCCCAATATCAGCTAAGAAGACATCCTGGCTTCCCTAGAGATCTTTCAGTTGTAGATCAAGGCGTGAGACCAGTTGACTTGCTAGGGTCTGTTAAATGTGATATTTTGTGAGGCAAAAAATTTGATCTGATGTATAATACATTTTTAGAACTCTGATCAAGAATTTAAAAAATTCACAAGTCTTACAAAACAGGAGTTGTGTTCAGTGTCAGCCCCCCTGTCCAGCTTACAAACTTAAAACACTGGTCTCTTTTTCTGAACATAATGAGAATCCCAGATAAAAGCTGGCTCCTGACCTCATCAAGAGGCTTTCCTTTGGGGCCTTTGGTTTGGAGGATACCACGTGGATGCTGCCCAAGGGTCCAGGATGCCACACTGGGCCAGAGGAAGGGGACGGCATTCTTAACCCATCAGAGCTTTGTCTGCACCCACAGCTTTGCTAGATCACCCAGGAAATTAAATGAGCACCCCTTTCAGTTTGTAAAAGAAGTTCCATTAGATTTCTTAGAAATCAGAGTATTTTGAAACTGTAGATTTCCTAGGTATGCAACATCTGGGAATTTTGGTAATGAGGGGGAATGCTTACTTCTTTCATCGCACCGTGGATGTGACACTGAGTGTGTGTGTGTGTGTATTGATTATAATGATGATGATGATTTCGAGGTGGCTTACTATAAATCAAATGTCCTTTTTTTCTCCTGACTTGAGGCAAGGCCCATCTGGCCACTGGAAAACAAGTACACCTATACACCTCCTCATTGTCAGATGGTCAGATAAAGCTGGAGCCCAGATCTAATTCAGTAGATCCCAGCAGAAGGAATTTCTAAAAGAATTTCTTGCAGTTTATTTGCCTTTGTTCCATGGGCAAGTTAAAGTTACGGTATCAAAATACATCCAAAGAGAATATTCTCATGAGCAGTTACTTTTTTTTTTTTTTTTAATTTTAATTGTGATTTGGGTGAAAGTTTACAGAGCACATGCATTTTCCATACAGCAGCTCACATATACTTTGTTTCATGATATTGACTGTAATTTCCCACAATGCAACAGCTCTCCTCCCACTTCCTCCCCATAGTTACCTCTTCCCTGTGAACTTTCCTCCCATGCACTCATGCCCACCCCCCAGCTGTCTCCCTGTGCATACACAGCCCTTCTATTCTCCCATGATTGATTTCTCTAAGGAGCAGTTACTATTTTTTAACTTCCATAAGAAATTTGTGGCTGACCCCTGGGACTGAGATATTTGAAGTGTTAAGTGAGTGCCTGGGAAAATGGATCAACTACTATGGTCATACTGCCTCTCTCACTCTCCTGTGTCTCTGTCTCTCTCAGCTTGCACCTATAAGAACCAGGACTGCCGCTTGACCATACATTATGAGAATGGCTTTTCTATTACCACTGAGCCACAGGAGGGCACCTTTGCCCAAACCATCATACAGTCTCCATATGAAAAGCTCAAGATGTCTTCAGACGATGGGATCAGGATGCTGTATTTAGATTTTGGAGGCAAAGATGGAGAGATTGTAAGTGTGCTTGATTTTCAGGCAATGTGATTTTGTACATTTAATTTTGCAACACACCTGTGATGAGTCACAAACATAATGCTTCCTTACATTTATGTAGCATTTGCTGTGAAAAAAAGTACTTGCAGTCCTGTGGCTTATTTGATCCTTGAAAAAGTGATCAAATCTAGTGCTTTTGAAGTTCTTTGGTCTCATTGTCCATTAGAAGACTCCATAAATATTTGAATTAAAGAAAACAATCCTTTACAAAATCAGTATTAAATCCTTATCAAATAGGGGCCATATTAGGTCTGAAACATACCATACATTTTTTAAAAGTATCATACATCTGTTGTGACCTCAGCATTGTGCTATGTGTTAGGGATGTAAAATGCACAGTCCCTGATACCAGGAACCTCTCAGAGGAGCAGAGAGAATAGATAGCAGACAGGTGGGAGGAGTGGGCAAGAAGCAAGAGGAGAAGGCATGACAGGAAAACAAAGGAGAAGTTGGTCAGCTCTACCCCAGTAGAGAGGGTAAGACAAGGACACAGAAGTTCTGGACTAATGTAACATAATGTCCAGAAGACTTAGTCAATTCACCACTGAAGGTAATATTTGAAAGTCCCTGGATGGGAAAAATGGTTACTATGTTTGGCTGCTATCCAAAAGGTTGCAGGTTTAGGTCCACCCAGAGGTAGCCCAGAAGGAAGGGCTGACCAATCTGCTTCTCAAATAGCAGCCATTGAAAGCCCTGTGGAGCACAGTTCTATTCTGACACACATGGGGTCGTTATGAGTTGAAGTCAACTGGTGGCAACTGGTAGAATTGAGGTAATATTTATACTGTTTGTATCAATGCAGGTAGTCCATCTGTTTGAACTCACCATTTCTTGTGATAATTATGACTGTTCACAGTGGGGCATTGTACTATTTCTGCTTCACCAAAAGCAGAGAATTGCACATTCTTCTGCTTTGTAGCAAATGTAGTTCTTGGCATTTCTCAGGAAGGCATAGCATCTCATGTAAGATGTCACATTTAAAACTTCAAGGAGAACCTTGATTTTGTAATAACTAATTTCTGTTTAAGGAACCTAGTGACTTGGTGCTTAAACTACTCAGCTGCTCACCAGAAGGTCAGTGGTTGGAACGCTTCAGTAGCACCATGGGAGAAAGATGTGGCTGTCTGCTTCTATAAAAATTACAGCCCTTGCTCTTCACAAACGGTTAACAGGGATCTAAATACAACAATGCCACCATGTCTTAGAGACAACAAACCATAACAGTCTACACAAAGAAGCAAGATAAAGTGGTAGAAACAAGGAAACAGGATACAGACCCAGAACACATCCCTGAGGAAGAAGCAGCACTGGAACTCCCCGATAAGGAATTCAAAATAATTATATTTAGGTATCTTCAAAGGATTTAGAGACAGATCAAGGAAAACACAGAAAAAACCCTAGAAGAATTTTGGAAGAATATACAAGAACAAAATGACAAAATAAATGAAAAATTAGAAATTATTCTAAATCTACAGATGT